CCCCCCTTCTCCTCCTGGGCCCCGGGAAGAGGCTGGGCTGGATCCCTGAGCAGCCGCTGCTCCTCCTCCGGGCAGGCTGGCTGATGAGTCAGCTGACGCCGGCGCTCCAGCCTCGCCTCGCGGCGCTGCGCTCTCTGCGCTCCCTCAAAGTGGCTGCAAACCGGCCGCCCACTTAAAGGTTTTGGGGGACAGAGAAAGTGATGTGCGCCTTCTGAAGCCACGCCGGACCGCAGCAGTAAACGCTTCACCTTGTCAACTTTCTCCTTCCCCACCCCAAAGCCTTCTCTTGACCCTGGCCTCAGCCCTCCCCAAAGCCACTTAGGGTGCGTGCGCTTGGGTGAGGAGGGGGCTTGTCAGTGGCTGTCCGGGATGGCTTCCAATTTTAATGACATAGTGAAGCAAGGGTACGTGAGGATCCGGAGCAGACGCCTAGGGGTAAGTATCGATCCTTTTTTTTTCCCCCCGCCCCCCGTTCACCGTGTCAATTGTCTTTATCCTTAGCCAGCATCCCTGGAGGGTGGAAGGAGATTCCCGGCAGCGCGCCAGAGAATTGCGCTGTGGTTTCTCAGCCTAAACCCACATCTCCTGGGGCTGCCACTGTAAGGCCGGGTCTAGGTATGTAATGGATCTATCTTTATCTCTCGGATGACTTGGCCTTCTGATGGTGGCCCTGTGGTCGGCTTCAGTAGCCACTGGAGCCCGTCTCCTGGAAATAAATATTTCTCGGTAGCCATGGGAGTCAGAGCTGAGAAACCCGGGCGGGGTTGCTGAGCCCGCCGGATGCCCCCGGTGGCCCTCTTCCCACTCGCCGCCAACTTAACTTTTCCGGGGGATGGATGGACTGATTGAGGAAGGGCAGACGCTCTGAGTGTGAACAAGGTCAGGGACCCTCTGACCCCAGGGAGAAGTATTTTCAGACTCCGAGTCCTGGACAGTGACCCACCCCTGGCCCAGGTGCTGGCAAAGGCGGTGTGGGTAGGTTCCATGGTCCTGAGCCTGGGTAGTGGATTCATTGCTGGAATACACACCGGATGCCCGCTGGAGGACTATTTAGGGCGGAACATAATACCTGGCACAGAGCAAGTGCTCCCTCGCTAAATATGTACTAAAAGGAAGAATGAATGAACCAGAGGCTACTTGTCAGGGATAGGATGTTGGCCCAGGGATGGCTTCTCTCTTAAAACCCCCTCTCTTTTGCCCTTTTCCCCTTTGCTCTTCATTGATGGACTTCAGAGAACTCATTCTGCTTCTCTTTGGGCTTGAGGGGTGGCAAAGGAATTCTTGAGGGAGGTGGAGGATACTGGAATGATTTTGTTTTTTTTTTAAATTTCAAACTACCTCATTTCTCTTTGCCTTGTGTCAAGTGCTGTTGCTGTTCTTGTTTATCGTGTGCTTTGGGGCGAGGGAGTTTGGGGAGAAAAGTTTACTTTCCTAATGTCTGAAAGAATAATGTCAGTAATGATGAAGAATGGCCACAGTGGGAATAGAGTTAATAGTAATAAATTGAACGTCTTTCTCCACAGATATATGTCATTGGCACCTTTCTCTTATTTGGTCTTTGGACTTTGTTATGTACCAGATAATTTTACTGAAAATTGAAAGGCAATTTCACAGTGTTAAACAGTTAGGGAGGAAAACCTGCTGATGGGAAACATCTATAATTATTAAAAAATCTTACCTGATTTGTTTTGGTCCTTTTCTTCCTTCCTACCTTCCTTCCGTCTTCCCTTCCTTCTTCCCACCCTCCCTCCCTCCCTTTCTTTCTCTCTCTCTCTTTCTTTTTTTCTTTCCCTGCTGCTTACCATGTTTTAGCAACTAGGCCCCATGTTATAGTGAATATATAAATATATAATTAGGGAGAAATGTGACAGAACTAACCAATCCCTATCAACCCTTAGTTTCCTTGGTTTTCTTTTTTGCTATGCAAATATTCTCATCAAGGGGACCAACTGTTGTTAGGGTACTTAACACAGTGACTTTCATGCAAAGGGCAAGAAATAAGAGGAACGTTATATTTTTTATAACCTTATGGGCCAGTCGAGTGTTACAGTGTTAAAAGGAGCATTAGAAAACACCATTCTAATTTTAGATTTACTCCATCATGTCAACTGAGGAAATTGATAAGAGACATCCATTCTGTGCTAGAGAGCATTCCAACAGAAAGAGGACATGAATTATTAATGCACAAAATGTGAATTATTCATAAGGATCAGAGTTTATGCCAAATTGTGACACATGGTGATTTATTTGAAAGACTAGTTACCATAACTTTCTAGTTTATAGTAATTGAGACTTTTTTCTGTAATATTACTGACACTATATAGTCCCGTGTGTGCCAGTGTTTATGGACAGATATTTGAAGCAGAAGGAAAGGAAATATAGTTTACTTTGCATCCCTTTATTATTTTACGGTATCTTGGATGCCGACCAGAAGTGTACTTTCTCAGGATTTATTCATTGTGTCTGTGTTAACACTCAAATAGATTTTAGAATATTTACTGAGTGATGGTTATTGCTCATGGAGAGAAAAGGTCAAAAATATAATCAACAAAATCTGGTTTTATTTGTTCATTTTGATTTTATCACCAGTTAATTTTCAAAAAGTGTCCTAATGATATAATTTATTTATATAAACTGAAGAGGCTGATTACATAATTGTCAGAAAGCACTGCAAACTAAAGTTTTATAATGGAGGCATCAAGAGGAAAATGGCACAGGGACCCTCCGTCCAAAGTAAGAAATGTTAGTGGTATTAATCTAGGCTGCAGATAGCCTAGAACAGCAAGCAGCATGTGGAAGTCTCAAAGAGTTGGAGGGCTTTGCGTTAGGTACACAGTAGGCGCTCAGTTAGTGCACGTTGAACATGGATTGAACTACAGAGTGAAGGCCTGACTTTGCAATTCATAAGCCCCTTGAGGAACTAATGTGACGTGGTGGTTTTATTAATGGAATTGAGACAAGTGTTCTGTGGATTAGAACCATGTTTGGGAGGGTTTATAATTAAACAAGAAAACAACATTTCATCGTAAGCAGTTGGTGTGCCAGGGAATGACCCCTCAGATTTGATAAGAGAAGAAAAGAGAACAAATCTTCCTTCTGTTACTCGTTAGCTCTATGACCCTTGACGTCTCTTGGCCTCAGTTTTCTTATCTGTACAGTGAAGACTATTTAATGATGCTATGAGCATTGGATAAGATAATATTTGTGAAAATGCAGTGAAAGCATACAGCATTGATTCTGATTTCATTATTTCTTTGGTGTAATCAGAGATGAGTTAGGATTGATGGAAGGATATAGGAATGATTGATTTTTTAAATCTTTTTATCTAGATGTATCCAAAGGCATAAATGTTTATGCAGCTCTCGAACATTTTCATTGGATGCAGTTTTTTACAAAGTATATACATGTAAGTGATTTTTCAATGGGGCATGAAATAGTCTAAGACCATCCCCATTCAGATGGGTTGCAAATAAGTGGTCACCTTCAGTTGAGATACTAAGCAGCTTAAGTGATTAAACAATCAAATATTTGTAGACTTGCTTTTTTCTATAAACATCAAAAAGCTTAAAGAAATTCAATTCATTTAACTCAAAAGTCTCAGTATCTTCACATCTTTATTCTCTGGCTTCATCATGCGTTGGTTCATGGAGGTGTCAAGCCGGGCTCTGGGTGCAATACTTTTTCAGGATAATGTCGATGTTGCTGTTTTGAGGGCTGGGGCGGGGTGTGTCTACAATTATCTGGCAAATCCACAAAAGGCACTAAAAAATGTATTCTTAGAGGAATGGTGAACTAGACAATTTGCACATCATTAACCTACCACGTGGCTTAGATGGCATCATATAACTGCCCTCACTTGGTCTCTTCCTTTGCAACGGAGAGGATTTCCCAGTCAGTAATTGCTATGGCTTCTCCACTCTGCAAGTCTCAGAGTTTAAACTCACACCTGTTCACTTTATCTCCATGCAGTCCCCCTCGATTACCCGACTTTCAATGGCATCTCGGTGCTCTTATGTACCAAGGACCTTTTCTCCTGTCTAGCCTGCATCCTCATCTGGACGTCTCCTGGTCCCAATATGTCCAGCCACCCCTGATTTTTTCATCCAAACCTGCTTCTCCTGGAGTCTGCATCTCAGCCACTAGAGGTCCCAGTATTTCAGTTGCCCTGGTAAAAATCAGTCAAGCAAGCAAGCAAGCAAGCAGCAAACAATAAAAACTCAGCCCCCCCTTCCCACTCCCTCCTTGTCACAACCCCACAGCCAGTTCATCGGGAGGTCTTGTAATCTCTGTTTTGGAAACATGTCTAGAATCTGACTACCTCTCACATCATCTGCCACTGCCGCTCTGGCCCAAGCCCCCAAATACTGTAGAATAATAACCTCCTAATTTATCTCACTGCTCAGACCACCAAGAGTTATAGCCCTACAGTGGGCTCTGAGGCCCTGTGCTGACTCAGAATCTTTTATTTATTGATTTATCTTTGGCTGTGTTGGGTCTTCCTTGCTGCGCGCGGGCTCTCTCTAGTTGTGGCGAGCGGGGGCCATGCCTCTCTGCGGTGCGCGGGCCTCTCATTGCGGTGGCTTCTCTTGTTGTGGAGCACGGGCTCTAGGCGTGCGGGCTTCAGTAGTTGTGGCTCGCGGGCTCTAGAGCGCAGGCTCAGTAGTTGTGGCAGGCGGGCTCAGTAGTTGTGGTTCACAGGATCTAGAGAGCGGGCTCAGTGGTTGTGGCACACGGGTTTAGCTGCTCTGTGGCATGTGGGATCTGCCCGGACCAGGGATCGAACCCGTGTCCCCTGAATTGGCAGGTGGATTCTTAACCACTGCGCCACCAGGGAAGTCCCTGAAGCCCCCTGACTCAGAATCTTTTCTCTTGCTGTTCCTTCTGCTTGGAATGCTGTTTCCCCGCGTTACCTCTTCCTGGCTGGCTCCTCACCATCTTCAGCCTTTCCGCAAGTGCCGCCTTCTCATTGAGGCCTTCCAGCCACCCTATTTTATCTCTTCCCTCCTTCTCCCCCATATCCCTTTGTTTTTTTTCTCTCTAGACTTATCACCCCCTGACTTACCGGTCTGTATGTTTTACTTGTTGATTGCCTGTATCTCCCAAATGGTATGTGAAACTCCATGAGGGCTGAACCCCAGTGCCTGGAACAGTTTCCAGCATGGAGAAGCACTCAATGAAGATTTATTGAATGAATGAATCCATCACTACTTACTGGTTTAAGAGCATACGCTCTGACATGAGACTGTTAAAATCCCAGTTCAGCGACTGGTTATGTGACTTTTGGTGAGTTATTTAGCATTTATAAGCCTCAGTCTTCTGTAATGATAGGGAGACTCATAATATCCACCTTATAGAGAATTCTCATAAAAGGCTTAACACAATGCTTGACACAGTGGAAACCCAATTAATGTTTATTACTGCTCTCTCTACTACTG